TTTATAAGCGGATGATCGGCGAGTGGCTCGCGCACATCGGGCGGGCTGCTGCAGAGGCTTTGATCCAGTCGGTCTATATCCCAGACGTATGATATTGTCATGATTCAGTCATTGGTCACATTTTTTTAAATTTTACTTGAAAAACATTTTAAATCCATATTGTTCTATATGGGATTCAGCTCATTGTGTTGGAGTAAATACAATGGGCTGAGTCTTGTGCGAGGTAGTACGACGTTGCATTTAATGTTAAAAAGTAATTCACTTTATTTTAGAATTCAAATTTTTGTTAGCGTTTAAAATACAGTTATTTAGTTTAGAGCTTAGATTTATTAAATTTTTGTGCTTAGAATAAAAAAGTGCAGTGATTAGAACAATTTTACAATACCCAAAGACTGATGATATTGTTAACTCTTCCCCCGATCATGGATCAATAGTTTATTCGGGGGAATAATTCCTTTTACTTACAATGTATTGTAATATTGTTTTTATTTTATGTAATAAATCATTTTGACTTGACTTTGAGAAATTTTCCTAGAACCTGGAAGCAAAGTATCGTCCATCCATTGCCCAAGAAGGAGAATCCTTCTAATTTGAATGAACTTAGGCCAATTTCAGTCCTGCCAGCTCTGTCGAAAGTATTTGAAAAGATAACTGTTCCACAAATTACGGATTTCATTGATGAAGGAGATTTATTGCCTAAATTTTAATCTGGGTTTAGAAAAAATTAGGGATGGACGAGATTGGGTTTTAGTTCGAGACGAGATTTTTTATTTCTCATAAAATTTCGAGACGAGATCGAGACGGGATTTCCCTTCTCATACACAACGGGAAATGCACGTTCAAAATTTTTACCTGATTTTGTAACATTGTTAGATGACTGTTTAAATACAAAAATAATGATAATAGGCAAGAATATTTACAATCTTTTATTAAAAAACATCAGCATAACATTTTTTTATTAATCACGCCTAACTTATTAAAAATGCCTACGATTAGGAAACATAGTGATATCAGTTAGGATAGAGTTCAACTTATCCTAAAATAAAATAAATCATAAAATAAAAGCAATATTAATTTTTATATAGTTACTTGTTTTGACTTTTTATAGTAATAAAACATTTCTCACACTGCTTACACTTTACAAAACTTCTCAAATGTTATTAAAGTAATATTATTAAAATAATGAAAGTAATATTTACATTTAAAGAATTAATTAAATAAGAACGCCTTCACAAAGGAAAACGCAACTACAACACGCTCCTGTATTGGGGGTATTGCATTGACTTTCTGCAGGCGTTTTTAATTTTTTTTTTTTTTTTTTTATTCCCGTCTCGGTAAAAATCTCGGCCAAAAAGAAATCTCGTCTCGTGTAACGAGATTTAAAATTTCCCGAAATTTCGAGACTTGACCATCCCTAGAAAAAATCATAGCACAAACACTGCATTGAGAAACCTGTTTGCAGATTTGTTTGCAGCGAGAGACAGCGGCCGGTGTAGCTCTTTGATCATGCTTGATTACTCGCAGGCCTTTGACTCCATCAGCCATGGTTTGCTACTCAGCAAATTGAGACACTTTGGATTTGGGGATGTGGCAATTAGCTGGCTAAGGTCGTACTTGGGAAACAGATCCCAGGTAACCAGGATGGATGTAGACACAACGCCTCCCCTTAAAAAACTTAGGGGAGTCCCACAGGGGAGTTGTCTGGGACCCATCTTGTTTACACTCTACACAGCCGACCTTACCACGTGTGTACGTCACTGTAATGTGCATGCATATGCAGATGACTGCCAGTTGCTTTTTTCCTACCCAATTGGCTCATTCAACTGTGCCTTTGAGGATGCAAACATGGATCTTGAGAGAATAAGTGAGTGGTCAAGGAAGCACGGCCTTAAGTTGAATGTTGAAAAATGCATGGTGATCCACAGGTGGTGGAAAACATGTACCTTTAAAAACTCCAGTGCAGACATAGGGGGAAGTGGGAAAGATGGCGTATTTGAACTTCAGATTCGTGTCCTTGGTTTGGTTGTTGGATGTTTGATGGGACGATTTTCGCTCTTCTTCCTGTTTGAAGGCTTGATGTTCGCACGTAACGCTAAGTCTTAATTGTTCGTGGTCACTGTTGTTCTATTTTTTAGAATTATAAGGACCATAACATATTAATTTGGATCAAAACCAGCTTTTCTCTAAAAATCAGATTATTTTTTGTATTTTATGGTTTTTTTTTTGGGAAAATAACATAAGTTACAATAACTTTGGAACCATAATTTTTACAGAAATGGGATTTGTACCATTTTGTTCAGAATTTAAAGGACTATAACATAGGCTTACTAACTTTTTAAGAAAATCGTTCGTGCCAGTTTCGAGAAAATCCAACTTTTCCATTTTTTATGGGGATTTATGGGAAAATCCTCATTAAAAATCAAAATTTCAAAGAAATGAAAAAAAAAAACGCCTGGAGATACCATGATATGTTCTTGAAATATTGTCCAAATTGATATATCCACTCAAAGTGAAACTCGAAAATTTTTACAAAAACAATTCTTTTTCCATATACTATGGTATAGGGGGGGAAAGCAAAAAATGAATACTGAAACAACTTGATTAAATAATGTTAATAGTAATGAGATTAAAAGACGTGGCCGGTACTAGACCATATTAATAGGGCTCTGGACAGAGAGAGAATGACCAGGTTAGGCTTCTTTCACACCAGCGCTGTGCGGCACCGTCCCGCACCGTCGATGCGGGACGACCCGCAAGGCCCTTTCACACTAGCTGTCCGGAGCCGGGCGTTTCCAGGCTGAAACTTTGTGATTTTTTTATGTATTTCATTCAAATAAATAAAAGTAAGGTGGTTATGCTACTTCTTGTATCTGAAAATAAAATACAGTGCACCCTTGTTAAATAACCTAATTGGATCGATGCCGTAGTTATGGTGACAGCTGTGGGGTAACGGATCTTAAACTTCTGTAGAATGTCAACGGCATAACTGATTTCAAATCTAAATACACCTTTTGCCATGCTTCCCTATAGAGAAGAAGCGTATTTCATAGGTCGCTACACTACTGTTAAATGGACATGTTTTCGTTGTATGTTTATCATCTGCGAAAATCTGTCATTGCATTGGTTATTACAGCTAAAGAATGTTTACTATGCGAAAGTAATGTTTACTATATTTTTTTGATTTAGCTGACGTAAAAAACAAATATTTGTTATTGTTTTATCGACTGTTTCATTTTCATTTTTCAACAACTAAAGGTAACATTAACTTTAAATCGAAGGCATAACCTAACAAATTCTATGAGTTTTGTAATGAAGAAAATAATTATTCTTTGTATTGTAGCGAAAAGTAACGTTCAAAACACGAGTGAAAGTGGGTCTATACTTGTTCGCGACCATTTATTGCAGCTTGAAAAATCTCGCACTTCAAACATGTTCTCTAATATGTAATGAATCACTTTCTACTCTTGTTATGAAGTATACTATAACAACTGGGACCATTTTTTTTATTTCAGTGCACTTAAAAGATAAGAAGAACTAAGAAGTAATTCTGTAGTTCAAATTTTGATATAGCCTAAATGGATTTTTATGCACATATTTGTATGCGGTTTTAGCTTAAACAACACTTCATTTCCTTCCATTTAGAAGAACATGTAAGAGCTTGTTAAACCAAATGTTTTTATATTAAATAAATCAGACATGTTTAATCAAATCTTTTGTACAAATTTAAACATGAAAATGAAAGATGGTTTGCTGCAGTGGGGGTCTCGTCCTACACACTGGCCTTCAAACTAAACCAAATATAAAGCTTGACCAAACTAATCAGCTCTATATCAATTTCAACTTCCATACCAAAAACAACAAACTTCCCTATTAAGTTAACAAGAGTATTACAAAATCAACCACACTCAACCACTGATAAGCATAGACTGTCAAAATTACTGATTTATGTGCGGGCGAAACCAGCCCGTCCCGTGCAAGTGTGAAAGCATACATAAGAGCCCATGATCTAAAAAATATTCATGCGGTTTCGACCTGCATTGGAAGTTTAGGTTCGTGCGGGTGATTTTTCAACCCGGACGGTTTAGGTCTGTCTGGGCCAACCCGCACAGGTGTGAAAGCTCCCATATGATTCAATAGTCTAAACAGCATCGTCCTGTGCGGGACGGTCCCACACCGCGCTGGTGTGAAAGAAGGCTTACCTGTCTGTAACGAACGACAAGCGATAAGGAGGACAATTAGACATGAATAAAGCGATAAGGTTGTTGTCTGAAGATAAAGTGGACTTGGGTTCTGTGGCTCTGGCATTTGGCATTACCTTTTGTTTTTTAAATAAAATAATTATTCTTCTTTTGTATTAATATAAAGTTAATAGTTCTTTTTTCGTTCTAAATACTAAACACCTTCTTAGCAAAGAAATGCCACTGAAGACCTTAGCACCAACATGTTCAATGTGTTTATCCCAAGTAAAATGTTTGTCAAAAAATATTCCAAGAAATTTACAAAAGTCATTAAGTTACTATTCAGAGTCATATCTTCACATGCAATGCTAAAAAAGCCGGAACACTGACCGATTGAGAAAGTTACATGATCAGTCTTACTTACAGTAAGTTTACCTTCTATTTCTAAAAAATAATCATTGGTACAGCTTCAGTAAAATTTTTTAATAAAGCTTTGAAATTTGCCATATTGTATAGTAAATAGGCCTAATTATATAAATAGTCCAATACCGGTATGAATTTATATAATACATTTATTTAATAATAGGCCTACAATTTAATAGAACAACTTTTTTAAGGAATCTAAAGAGGGAGAAAATATTAATGGAGTTTTAGTTAACCTCTACCATTGACTATATATAGCCTATACTCTCCAAAATTGAAATCTAAGGTGTCATAACTATTTAAAAAAATCTGATGTCCTAGCAAATCATCCTAATTCCATGAAATCTATAAAAATCTTGATTAATGAAAACAAACTATTTTTTATGTGCTTTCTTGCAGGTTTGATCAAAATGGCCCTTGAAGCTGTTACTAAAGCTCTCAAGAAGCTGACAAAAGATGACGATACTTCAGTAGGAAGTGAACCACAATACTTTTGTGTAGAAGACTCCTTTCTTAGCAAAGATGTGTGCGTTTCAGTTGAAGGAGTAGGCGATATTACTTTCCCAATTGATGAAAATTGTATTCAAAAGCTCATCAAGGTATCCTCAAAGGCAGTATTTGGCAAAGGAGACCAAACTTGTCTGGACACAAACATTCGTGACTCTCAGACAATTCAGGCCAATGCACTGAAAGTCAACATAAAAGATAAAAGTCTTGCAGCAGTTCTCGACAGAATCAAGACTGGACTGAATATTGAAAATAATTGCTCTTTAGAACCTCATCTCTATAACTTGTTAATTTATGGCCCTGGCCAGTTTTTTGGAAAGCATAGAGATTCTGAAAAAATTAAAAGAATGGTCGCAACTCTTGTAGTCGTCTTGCCTTCTCATCACCATGGAGGGGATTTGCATATTGAGCATGATGGGAAAAAACATGTGTTTTTTGGATCTCAAGCACATGAAATCGTTAAGTGCATTGCTTTCTACCCAGATTGTAGACACGAGATCACTAAAGTTACCCAAGGATATCGGGTTGCGTTAACATTCAACATTGTCTTAAACTCTCCAGATATTTTACAAACTGTAAAGGTAGATAAATACCTTAAAAAAGCTGTAGAGGACTATTTCGGGGTGGATCATCCTACAAGGCTTATATTTTATATGAATCATAGCTATACAAAGTGTAGCTTGAAATGGAGTTTGCTGAAAGGGTCTGATAGGACACGAGGATATGCTTTGTTTGTCGTCGCCAAACACCTGGGTTTAAAACCGTGTCTTGCTTTGGTGGAACATCAGGAAACCTATGAAGTAGGTGCCGACTACTATGGTGATGATGAGCTACGTGAAACATCCATCACGCCGTATTTTTGGGTTAGTTGGAATGATAGAGAGTTTAAACCTCATTCAGGCTTTGATACAGGTGAATTTGATGAGAGTGAAATTTGTTGCACAATTGAAACATCAGACTTATTAGAACCTTATAGTACTTATAAGGAAGAAGAGCCTTATGGAAATGCTCCTACTACTGAAGATCGTTCATATCGAAGGGCATGCGTTGTTCTGTTTCGTGTACAGGATCATTCCCCAAAGAAGCGAGGAGACAAGGAACAATGTTTGCCATCTCAAGAAAAAGAAACTATGTGTAATAAAAGAAATGAAACAGAAATCTCAACTATAGCTCCTAAGGAATTTTATGGCAATGTAGGTGAAAGTGGCTCATCAAGGCAGTAAATTTTAACTGAAGTTCAATAATGAAGTTAAGTAAAAAATATTTAATTCTTTATATAATTCATAAGCAAATTAAGTACCATGTTTTTATGTCTTGTTGACATGATTTTAACAAATGAAATGTATTGTTTTACACAAATCCCTGTAATTTTTCTACCCAAAAATAACTCTAAAATATACATATTATGACGAAGGAATAGTTATGAAAGCTATGTGGTTGGATACCAACGTGTTTGTTCTGTTTTATTCAAGTACTGTATGTTTTATCTATGGTACTGTTTATCAGAGTTGTTAAGTTTTTAAATGGTATTGCAACTGGACTAAGATTTGATTGAACTATGACTATTTTTACTTGTCATATTTTGGAAAATTTTTGTTATTCCAGTACAATAAAAACAATCCATTAGTTAGCTGTTTCTTGTTTCTCAAAGTAATTAATATTTAACTTTAACTATTAGAGCGTTTGTCTTTACGGTACAAAATATTTCTAAACTTTAAACATAATTGTAAGCCATATAACAGTCAAGCTGGTCAGAGGTACATTGCACATAGATATTGTATAAAGGTTGTAGGGTTGTAGAAAATTAAATTTGTTGTATGCATCACTTTATATTAAATACTTTTTTACCCAAATTTAAATATGCATAATTTGTTGGAAATAAAAAAATTTAAACAATAACAACAGTTTTATTGCTTCACTATACCTACACTGAACATCAGGTTATCACCATTTGTATGTATCACAATTAATTATATATAAGCAACATACCAAATGTAATAGAGTTGTAAAGAAAACAGCATATATAGTCTTTATTGCAACTTGTCTATTTCATGATGCAAACAAATCCCTACCAGACAGGGTTGGCTATAGGCTGGGATGAAGTTAGTTTTAGCAAAAGTGATAAAAACTGCCAGACAACTGTAGGAAAAATATTATTCTTTAAGCATTAAAACAAACTAGAGGTCGTCCAGTGGTCGAAACTCAACCAAAAATTTGTAATGAACAGACTTCTCTATTTTCACCCCACACTGTAAATAAAACATGTTATTGGAGTTTCTTCAATTTGTTTTGATTTTCTGTTTATATTTCATTGTTATTTCGTCACCAGCATGGAAACCCATAAAGCCCATGTTAATTTTTTTTAAATTTCAAATTCATTTCTTGTGCTTATTTCTGAGCCTATTTTAATTTTTAAAGGGATTCTGCACACCTACAGAAAAATATCCTTCTAACAGTATAAGAAGATTTTTCCTGCGATGCCCACAAGCTGAGAAAAAAGGTTTTAAAGAAACATGCTTGCCTATTAATATATAGATGGATGGATTGCCAGTAGTATTGCATGTTTGAACATTTCATACCTATTCAATTTTATTAATTTGTAGCAAATTTGTTATAGCCTGCAAAAACAATGTAACCTCGCATTTTTAAGTTGTGTATAGCAAAATGCTAAAAATGCTACCAAAGCTTAAAAACTGCTACCAGATTAGCTAGTGTATGTAACTAATGTGATATTTAAACTAGGTGGCATTCACAGATGCATCCACAAAATTGAGCGGAGTCATCAAGGGTTCATATTATATTGTTTTTGTCGTATTGCAGTAAAAACAGTCGTCATTGGTGCATGCGTTAGGGAATAAACTTTATTAACTTTATTAACTTTATTACTTCCTAAGCCACTTCCTACATCGTAGACCTGTTTTTATCACTTTCCATAGCATTTTGGTATTTTAGATACGTTAATCTAATTGTCACAAACATTGCCCACACTCCGCACTGCTAGCCTTTACTACTTCTTTCACCATTTTCTATGTCGTGGGCATGCTTCCATCCCTTCTCATAGCATTTCAGCATTGCAGATACATTAATCTAACTGCTACAAACGGTTTCCAGTTCCCAAACTCCACACTGCTCACCTTACTACTTCCTTCACCTCTTCTTACGTCACAGACCTGTTTCCCTCTCTTCCCATAGAATTTTAAGATTGTAGATACCAAGATACCTTAATCTAATCGTCATAAATAGTTCCCACACTCCGAAAAAGTCGCCTTTACTACTTCCTTAAAAACTTCCTACATCGCGGACCGGTTTTCCTCCCTTCCTATAGCATTATAGGATTGTAGATACCTTAATCTAATCGGCATAAACAGTTTCCACACTCCGGATAGCTCGCATTGACTACTTCCTTCACCAATTCCTACGTCACGGACCTGTTTTCCTCCCTTCCCATAGCATTTTAGGATTGCAAATACCTTAATCTAATGGTCATAAACAGATCCCATACCCCGAACATCTCGCCTTTACTACTTCCTTCACCACTTCGTACATCGCGGACCGGTTTTTCTCCCTTCCTATAGCATTATATGATTGTAGATACCTTAATCTAATCGTCATAAACAGTTTCCACACTCCGGACAGCTCACCTTGACTACTTCCTTCACCACTTTCTACGTCGCGGACCTGTTTCCTTCCCTTCCAATAGCATTTTAGGATTGCAGATACCTTAACCTAATTGTCATAAACAGTAGTTTCCAGACTGCTCACCTTTACTACTTCCTTCACCACTTCCTATGTCACGGACCTCAAGCTAGTGTCGTCATTTGATTATATTTATGATCCATACCACCGTTTATGTTCTAATATCTGTGGAATAATGCTATCAGCTATTTATTTATCTTCTGCATTCAAAAGTCAACAGCTGATCATATGTCTTTGTTTATGTGTCAAATACTGCTTCCATAAGGATTACATTAAAACTTTAAGACCCAGTGGGGCGGATTCCTGAGAGACTTTTTTAACGCCATATAGATGTTGGCACTCACCGGTATGGTCTTTATCACCATGCAAAATTTGAAAACGATTGATTCAGCCGTCTAGGAGGAGTTTGCGTATTACGAAATGCATAAAAGTCAACGTATAAGAGCTTCGCTCGCTCCGCTCAATTCGTTATTATTTGCTGAATAAATATCCACCTGGTGGTTTTTGTGTGACTGAACAGTGATTGATGAAGCAGGGGTTTGAAGTATAAAATTGTATATAAAGAACATCTCATAATTGTACAGCTTAGCAGGAGAAATTCATCAGTACACTTTCATGTGAACTGTAAAGTTCTATTCCCAAGCAGGACTCTTTGACAGACATTCTAGAATTGAGATAAGGAAGATTTTGACTTGATTTAAGCATGAAAGGGGAACACAAAAGATATGAGACTTGTTAAATCAATGCACATATCTATACTTGTTTCCCCTTCAGTTTTTAAAACTTTAAAGGTTTTTTTCAATCACAAATGCATTGAATACACTTAAAATATGAGAAATAAAATCTCTTTAACCAAGTACTCACTAATCCCCCAAGATCAATTAAAGTTATATGGTAACTGTTGTCATCGAAGTATACAGTTTTTATATTAATTTTTAGTGTGTGGCAACATTGATTTTTATTTGCAGCACTAATGGTGAGATTGATTCACTTGTAGTACTGTTGTCTCTTATCATGATCTGTTTATAGACTGTACACTGACATTTTTGTCTGATTTTGTGTTGTTCTAATGTGAGTCAAGTTCTAGCGATTAATTTTTTTAAGATTACTTTAAAGGTAAGTAACAAATAAACATTGATATTACAGTATTTATATTTTATCTACCGTGCCTTTTGCTTTTTCAGAGTCAAATGATTGTAAATTATGTTAAGTGCTATATAAAGTGCTGTGGTAGTAATTAGTCACAGTTTATAACATCACTTGTCTGTGATAGCCTCATGTTATCTAAATATATAAAAGGCAAAGCCCTCACTGACTGACTGACTCACTCACTCACTCATCACTAATTCTCCCACTTCCCATTTACCTAGGAGGCTGAAATTTGGTACACTGATTCTTTAGGCATTAAATAGGAAAACTAAGTTGTTTTAATTCTGATCGGACTCTCGGGCTCCGCCCCAGTGGCTCTGGAGTTTCCCATGTTAACCTTATGAGTACTCATATTTAAATGGAATTAATGAATCTTAACAGCTGTTTCAATTAAACAAGTTGGCTCTGTTCTATGATGTTCAATAGCATTTAAGTTACAAGGATTACCAATAGGGTGCAGCACTATTTTTTTTTTTTTTTTTTATTTATGACAACAGCTAATTTGCAACCAAAAGGTGAGTGAGCGTAGTGAACGAACTTCATCCTGGAGGCGAGTTAGCGTAGCGAACGAGCTAACCTGAAAGCAAGTGAGCGCAGCGAATGAACTCCAACCTAAAGGTGAGTGAGCGTAGCGAACGAACTTCAACCAGGACGTGATTGAGCCTTGCGAACAAGCTCACTTATGAAGTTAAACGGGGCGAAGCCCGCGGTTACAGCTAGTACTATATAAAGCTCATCCTGGAGGTCCAGCCTTCAGTGTTGATGGTTTCAAGTTGCCTTGTTACTGAAAAAATATTCATATATTTACATAAATACCACTAAAAATAACCAATTTGGTACCGTAAGTTATTTTCACAGGCAGCAAAAAAATTAAATAACTAATGTATTCCAAGTTATTGCCCCTGAGATAACACAAAATAAAATAACAAGTTTGCTTATTCCTTTTGTTACAAATTTTAATTTTGAGTTGATTTTTTTAAACAATTAAAATTATTACGGTATCTGTTTTGGATTGCATTTTTATAAATAAATCTGTTGTATAGGGCTACGCCGGTGTGAACAGGCGTTTACCCTTTTTACGGTTTATTGCTTACAAATCAGTGAAACGACTCACCCTACAAAAATTGTTCAGTTGGTTCTTTAAGTGCAGTCATTTATATGTCCAAAATAGGCGAAGTGTCCAATCGAAATCGATCACCACTTACCATCCTTTGTATGTTTACCGTCTTGTGAGTAACAGTATAAGCGTAAATATATGTTTTAAGTGTTATAAGACGTATCTTTATTTACTTTCCGTAAAGATTCCTTTTTCTAGCTGTCACTGATATGTTTACATAAATGTTGTTTACCAATACTGTGTTGGCCCTAACCATTTCCGTTCACGTTTTTAAGCAAAACCAAAACCAAGTGAGATTAATAACCGTGTGGCTTAGGCTCGTTTCACATCTACCCGGCTTCTACCCGGCATGCCGTTAACCCGACTTCTAGCCGGCACTGGCACGAGTGCACCTTTCACATTACGCCGACACCGGCACTCCGGCAGTTGTACTCCAGCTTGTGAAACTTGTGTGTCGTAGGGATGGGAATAGAACGTAATAGAGCAATTGTAATGTTAGGTACTTTGAAATAAATTTATTGCAATTGTATTTATACTTGATTTTTTTTTATTTGATTCAGTTTGAATTGGAGTAAAATTTAATTTTAATTTTTAATGTAATAAAATAAAATAAAAAAATAAATTGAGTAAAAATTCTATTTAATTCAAATAATTCTGCTCTTGAACTAAATTAATAAGTAGTTCATGGTCTATTCATGGACATGACCAAAACTTTGCGAACAAATACCCAAAATTAATACACATTAACTACAAAGAACTGAACTAAAAGTACTCTTGGTGCACCCGACAGACGGCAGGTGCCGGTTGTATGTGAACAGTCACATTGAGCCACTATACCCACTACTCCAACCGGCTTGTTTACCCGGCACCGGCAGCCGGCCTTCGCCGAGGGGGCACCCGGCATCCCTCGACTAGTACCCGGCGGCCGGGCAAGTGATTAACCGGTCACGACACATGCCGTGCATGTGTGAACGGTGCTATATACTTCTTCACCCCATTGCCGGTTAAACGACACCCGGCACCCGGCAGCCGGGTAGATGTGAAACAGGCCTTACATAACGGGTTTGATTTATCACGGGTACTAATATGTAACAGTAAATTAAATTAAATAACTAGCCATCATCCAGGTCGAGAACCGGAGATTCTGTGTGTATAAAGTTGTACTTGAATTTTGATTACCGGGAAAAGACCGTGAATCAGTGTTGTACAGGGCTGGAAAACTTATCTTTCTATATAAATAAAATTAGAGTTAATAAGTCACCTCAATTTAAAAGGAATTTTGTATTGCCAGAATATCCATATAGCCATTCGTAACCTCTGCTTAACGAATTGTCAGCGTCTTTCTCTTGATATAACGAACCCCTCTCCCTCCTTTTAGAACATCCCAGCTCCTTTGATGAAAATGAAATGGAAACAACGCATGCGCCAACAATCGTCTGCTCCGTTTTTACTTCTGTCTGCTGTGCGCTATGTTACAACAGATTTCAGATACTGTACAACAGCTGGAGAATGATGACAATATAATGCTTAGTAAACTGTGATTGAATGATTAGTAACCATGGTAACTTTATTAAGGCTGTGATTGGCCAATGAGTAGGCCTAAATATGGCGACTTGTTGAATTTGTGTATGAATTGAAGAGAAACCTATTAAAGAACAGAAGAACAAAGAAAAAGAATAACAAGATTGTTCTCGTTACATTCTTTTTTAAGAGTGTTTTAGTTATCTCTAAATATAATTTTACACTTTTTTATTAGGCCTACTTATCTATCAATACTGCAACAAAAGGCTTTGGGAATTATAGAAGAAGCACACTACCAAGACCACTTTTTCCCAAAAAACCAAATCCTCACCATCACCTCCACCTATATCCTTGAAGCAATAAAGTTTATAAAAAACAAACCAAACACTCTTAGACACGAATGCCACAAATATAATCTGAGAAACAAAACAAACCTAAACCTAGAACAACATAGCCCTAGTAGCACAAATATATATTAAATACATATGAATAAATATATTTAAAATCTATTTTATATATCTCAAGTGTGTATTAATGTCAATTTTATATAATATTTAAAATATATTAAATATATAAAAAATATGTTTTTGAATCTATTAAATATTAAAAAAATATGTTCCAATAATATATTTTAGTGAATAATATTTAAATAAAAAATGTATTTAATATCTCTTCCAAACATCCCATGGGGCCTAAACATAAAAACATAAAATAATGGAGATTTAGTATGAAAAGCACAATTATTAGTTGAGTAAATTGATTAAATAGTTCATAAAAACAAATTTTGAAAAAATTACTGGATACAATTTTTTTAGCCCGGGTGGGTCTCGAACTGGGTCCTTCGACTTATGAGCCTCTTACCTTACCTCTGAGCTACTTGTGACTGTTGTTAGCATTAGTTTTCAAATGGTGAAAGAGTGGCCGTCAGTTGCAATGGTTGCAATACTTGAAAAATTTTTGATACTACAGTATACTGTAATATGATTCTGTTAATCTGTTTTTCCGTAATTCGTTTCTTAAAAGGTCGCCAGACACTAGCACCCTTTTCTAGCCAATCATTCGAGATTTCTATGATCACATTCATTGTCACATATTGCAATTTAAAAAATAAAACCCATCAACACTTTTTTTCGTTTGACCCAAATGTAGGCTGTCGAACATGTATACTGCCTCTTAACTATATGCGTAATTTTTTCTTTACCTGCATGATAGAGTAACACCATTCAGAGTACGTAGTATTATTAACTTAATTTTAACGCTTTCACAATAGCAATTATCATACAAAAAATGCATGTATAAATTGATAGACACTATAAAAAACAAAAAGATGCAAATTATTTATTTGCTAATTATAAAAGATTATAGGCTATATATTCTACAAATATATTATTATTTTATTAATACAAATATCTGACGTGTTTCAAAATATATTTATAAATACTTTAAATATATAATATAGTTTCAAAAATATGTTATATATATATTTAAAATATTCTCAACACATAATTTTTTAAAATATTAAATAGGAAAAATATACATATAAAATATGAATATTATAGATTCTATACTTATTTGATCAATATATATTATGAATCTATTTTATATATTCAAAACTTATATTTAATTTATATTTTGCATTGCTTTTTGGTAATATTTTAAATATATATTTGAATATATCAAACTATTATTAAAGATATATTATTTATATATTTTATTCGAGGTTCTATCAAATACAACTTTAAATATATAAAATATTTATAAAATACATATTTGTGCTACTAGGGAGGCTCCAAAAAACTAGCTCAACCCCACATTTCATGGGAACTAGGCTTTTTAATCTTCTACCAAACAATCTAAAATCAATAACTGACACAAAAAGTTTTATTAAATCACTAAAAAAATATCTTCAAAACAAACCATATTTCAACCTATAGTTATTTGTGTAACTAGTGGTGAAAGTGGCACTTTGCTGCACACGAGAGCAATGCGGAATGATCTCGAGTGCAGCAAAGGCCTTTTTCACTCGTGTTACACATTATATTTTTCCTACAGTCACTATAAAGCATATAAATAATTAGTCTTTCAAACACTATACAACACGTTTTTAGGTTCAGCTGGCAACACAAATGGTGCCCTAGAGAAAGTAGTACCCGAGGTCCGTATCACTCCGCTATTTTTCCTCGGCAAGAAATGTGCTCCGCGTTTTGAAAATATAGTTCCGTATGTTTTTAGCGAATTTCCCATATAGGGAATAAGCTATTACCGTAGGTCTCATGGTAAGACCTGGACCCGGGACCGATTTAGTTTTTTGTTTTGAGGTCCCCAGAGGCCAAAAACACCATCCGTTCAAATTCATATATATATATATTTATATATGTGTCCGTTAGCGCGATAACTCGAGCAAAAATGGTCCGATTTTGATGAAATTTGGTATAAACGTGTAAACCTACATTTATTCGAACGAGTTCGCGAACCAGCATGATCGGACTATGGGAACAGGGGTTTATGGGGGGTTTTATGGGGTAAAAATGGGTTTTTCTAATTTTTAACCGACTTCCCCACTACCAACAAAAGGAGGAGGTTCTCAATTTGTTTGTGGCGATGTTTTTTTTTTTCTATGTATGTTCACCAATTTCTCTGTGATTCTTTTACCAATCAGTGTGGTTCCACCACCAAAATAACCAGGAGAGTTTCTATTTGGTACCTTATATATTATGTTTAAGTATAAAATTTGTTTAGGTAAAAAATTCTGAAAACCTTAAATATTCAACATTTATTTTGTTTACATTTGTGCAGATTGTTTACATTTGAGCAGAGAAGGCAATAAATAATAATAACATTCCTACAGCTGTTAGTTGAAACCATTTAAATGAAGCTACAGACAATTCTTCATGAAACAGTTGCTTCATATTGATCAATAAACTATTTCTTGCCATGGAGCCTAAATGAATTACATTGAGAAAAATGCATTTTGTTTTGGTTACTATAAAAAATGTATTTCAACGTTTGACCTGATTTGTGTATACAGTAATTCTGTTTTTAGTATTGAATATTCTGACTTACAAAAACATATATGTTTCAGTGAATAGCTGTATGATATTGACAAATAAAGGTGTATTGTGAAAACCAAAGCATTCGTGAAACAGGCCTAAATATAAATCAAATGCAATTATTCCTTACACGACCTAAGAAGTGTGACAGTGCATAATCGTCAATTGTCTTAAAAGTGTTAAATATTTTAATTAGCCTACTAAACATACATTTGCAGATGTGGAATGTTTATTGATATTATCTACCCAGTTACTATATCATCATATCAATACTATTATGCCTGCTTCGGAAAGTCCTAGAGGAAGATGATTTGCAATTTCGACTAGGCTATATCTTGAGCAAACAAAACCCCCTACATGACTTACACCACTTTTAGCTGAACCAATCTTTCATATAATATTTTCCAAAGGTACTATACGAAATGTACTATGGTGTTAACGACCAATTTTCCACTTTTGAGAGATTTTTTAGTGCTGGTAGCTGAGGAATAACTTTCATATTGTTCCAAAAGGCTTGAGGCGTTACTGTATTTCTTTTTATAATGTAGGACACCTATTGCAGGAAACTATTATGTCTGACATTTCAATGTATCTAGAAAAGACAATTAGTTGTTCATTAGGCCTAATGTAATGGACAACTCTTTCTTTCTTAAGGAATATCTAAAGATGTTTATTTTCATACCCATCGATTAGTAACCTGAACAGGTGACTCAAGCAGTTTTAAAATAATGATTGTTCTGTGGAACTTTTGATTGTTTCAAACAGTTTTGCTAATCAAAAATCCTCAAGTAATTAATATATAAAAAATTATACAGTCACTAAAAATCATGAAATAATTTATTTTTGTAAAAAAATACAACCGACTTCAAACGCTCTAAAAAGAATGAAATAATTTCAATAAAGTAAACTTTTGTATTAGGCAAGCTCACATATTTCAAGTCGGCGCGGCTCAAACTGCAAATATGATTGAAATTAAATATTGTGTGTGTATTTTGAAAATCAATAAATTGTAGCTGGATAACATAAATATATCAAAAACATACTGAACTGTTTTGTTTATATATTAAAGGAAATATTTTCTTGTATTTGATGTTTACTTCAGAATAAATGCATTATGAAAATAACACACACAAATGTTCTATATGAATAGGAAAATAATTTAGTTTGATATTATGATAGGGAAAAGAAGCTAGTTTAGTATTAAAACGTTACTTTTCCAAGTTAAAAACATTTAAATGCGTTATAATCTTTTTAAAGATACTCGTTAATACCACTATCATGCCGATCTCTGATTACGGTAATAAAATAACACTTAACGCATAACTATGAAAAAGACATGCAGATTACCACCTTTAGTTATAGATAGTCACCTGCAATATGGACACCCTCTTTCAATTTTGTATCAAAAATCATCATAGAGCCGCGCCGACTTAAAATGCGTGAGCTTGCCTAATACAAAAGTTTACTTTATTGAAATTATTTCATTCTTTTTAGAGCGTTTGAAGTCGGTTGTATTTTTTTACAAAAATAAATTATTCACCCTGAAAACATAAAATTTTGCAATTTCTTTCTAAACCATTTTGTAGAGCTCCAAAAAACAAATAATTTAGTATATTGAAGCATTGTTGCATGCCTAACGGTTACGGAAAAATCACAAAACAGTGTAAATTTAAAATTACCATGTTATTCTTATGACAAAAACTTTGTTTGCAGTCTTTTTGTTGTCAGCGCAAATTCTTATGTTACCATTTCTTACTAGAACAAAAAGGAGTTCCCCATTTTGAATTACCAACTGTTGATATTATTCCATAGCTTTCAAGTCAATTTAGTTCTTCTTCAACTGATTTCTTCAATGTGTAAGGAATTTGTCGAGGTTTTATAAAAATAGGTCTAGCTCCTTCTTTTAACAGTTTTAATTTTTCCGATTACAGGTGTGATAATTTCTTGAAATTCTGTCAAAAATGTGACCAATTTTTCTGAACAATCACTCTAAACTACATTGATATCTGCTCAATCCATATAGGACATAAACCTCGTGGATCGACAAATGATTGTCCTCAATATCAATCAAGATCGATTCTAATTTCTTGTTTTTCCTAGTTTCGACCTCAGTTCTACTGCTAGATAAGCAAACCTTTGAATTGCCCAATAAATTATTTCAGTAGGTCCAAGAACAAAATACCCCCGCCGCGGAAAAACTGCACACAAATTTCCATTTGCCTGATCTGATTTTCAATTAAATCTATTGAAATAACATTGGTTTAACGAGCACCTAGGTTTGTTGTTACAGTGAGGGTGATAAAGGGTGTTTTTGGTAAAAAATTAGTAGCTTAGTACAAAATAAATAAATTTCCCAAGATTTATCAAAATATATCAATAAATGCCCCTGTTGCAGCAAACCTGCTGAATAAGCTAATTTCCATTTGCCTGATTTGACTCTCACTTAAATCTATTTAAATAGGATTAGGTTACCTAGATTAACGAGTACCTAGAGTTGCTGCTGGGGGGGGGGGGGGGGTTAATAAAGTTTGTTTTTTACTAAAATATTAATAGCTTAGAATAAATTAAATAAATCGGCCAGGTTTAATCAACATATATCCAGAAATTAGCAAACTACAACAGTTTACTTATTCTCCATAAGAATAACAGGGATTTTAAACTTACTTTTTTTTATTTTATAAGTAACCAATAACCATCAAAAAAATTCTAAATACTAAATTATTTGTTTTTTAAGCTCTTTAAATGAATTTGAATAAGTGCTGTTTTTGGCCTCTAGAGACATCAAAACAAAGTAGTAAATCGGTCCCGGGTCCAAGTTTTACTATGAGATTTAATTACTAAAAACTAAAAAAAAAAAAATAGTGAAATCAAGCAAAGTTGTTATACTATCTGGTATTCCTATTGAAAACAGCCTTCAGCATTAACAAACATTTTTGGAGCTGTTCCTATCAAACAAATGATTGGATCTTTGAAAGCCAGTGGATTGTGGATTCGGAGAAAATTCCACTTATCTTGGTCCTCAATCTTCAAACTAAACCGTCAAAAGCAGTCTTGTTTTCTGCCTATTTCAAGATGTTGTACTGGTTCTTTTGTAGCTTTAATTGAATATATTTTAAAATAAGCTTAAACATAAAGAACTGAATATATTTAAGGTGTGAAATTATTTAATATATTTTGAAACGCATATTAAATTCTCATGGTTTCCTACTTCTAAGAAGCATTATCAATAATTTAAACTACATAATAAAAACTTCATATTGCATAGAACTAAGGCTATTTTCATTTTACACAATTTTTTATGTTTCTACAAACTTCTCTAATTACAAAATAAACCTCTTATCTCATCTCTGATCAAGTTATGTCACACAATCTGGTACCAGTGATTAAGCTTGAGTGTTTTGTTAATCACTCTACCTTTATACAAGCTCATAAATGCTTTGTTAGCCGCTTCCAATTTTGATAAATAAATTAATGGTTTAACTTTCTCGACCATCATTCAAACATTATGACAATTATATAACAATTCAAAATGTTTTGATACCTTCGGTGCCTGCATTTTACATGTGGCCGAATTCTATAACCCATAGCTGTAAAAAATAGTTGTTCAATTGGTACATGTATTTTCGTAAGATTTAAATTTTTATTTTTACACCTTTTAGAAAAATGCACAACTAAGTTTTGATTTCAGAGATAAGCCGTGACTATTGATACCGGTAATACAATAGTCAATGGTATAAGCTAAAATTATGTTTTATCGATGGTCTGACAATAATTATTTTATATTGGACATACCTTATTACACTTAAAAACCTTAGAGAAGCAAGAAATATAATACATTAGCTAATTTTAAGGGATTAGGATGAGTTATGTTCATAAAATAACCCCTTACAAATTTATAATCTATTATATAGATTAGTGATATAGAAAATATACAGTACATTTTCCCCTTCTAGGCATACCATCGAAAAAAATTCCCATACTACACATTTAAAAATCAAGTTCATACTCTTCCAGGATTAAAGAGTTTTATATCTTATCCTGGCAAGGCCAAATTAGAATTTATGTAATTATGTGCTTGGTCATTTAATAGTAAAATAAACTTTTAAATGGACTTTTATTTTTTGACTTTAGCAAACTAAACAAATTTGTTTCCAGAATATTTTAATGGCGAGGTTAGACGGCAGTACAGAATTCACTTCAGCCTTAAAACCTATTGAGTGTCCATTTACATGGAAACTTTCAGAACTTCTTGTAAAGGAATCATCTAATATTGTTGAAAGACTGCTTGAAAAAGAAGACATTTCTGAAGAATATAATGCCCAGTTCAAATGTTCCATGTAAGAGATTTTTTGAGATTCATAATTTATTCTACAGTAGTTCTAAAACTATAAAAAAAAACATGGGGAAATTTCTTAATATTACATAACTTAACACTGTAATTTTTCCAGTAAAATGGGGGTTGTACCATTTTGTTTAAAAAAAAAATAGGGCTATATTATACTAAATTTGATTCCGTTTGATATTATTTATGCTGTTTTTGTTAAGGTCAGGTTTTTATGTTATTTTCTGGGTTTTTATGGGAAAATCAACATAAAAAAATCAAAATTTCCAAAAGATGAAAAAACCCAGGAGATACCATAAATTAGTACCCTCCCAGATTTAATCAACATTGGACCACACGGATGTAGTCTCTAGCTACACCATACAAACACACACACACAGACTTCATTTTGAAAACCACTTTTTTGGGTTCAGGGGGACCCAAAATGGATAATTCATCCCAAAATTCAACATTACAACTTTTTTATGAAAACAATACCTTCTCCATATACTATGTATAAAGCGAGGAAGTAAAATGTATCATGGACCATAAAATAAAGCTATGAAAACAACATCAAAATGTTTACCTTTTACCTTGTATTTTTTTAATTGTAATTTGGAATAAATGTTGATACACACAGAATGTCATAAGATATGGAAACATTTTACATTTCCACTTTGCCATTTAAAGTAATATGAGTACTGTTCATTAAAAAATTAAGAGATTTTTGTAAGGAAGTATTATGTTACCGTATGTATTTGGCTTCTTCAGTGGAGTTTTTATTCTGAAACATAATATTTTCTTACTTCTTGCTCTCGTCTCCCGTTATCAGTTGGCTCAAGCTCAGACTTAAATAGTTCTTAATGGAATAGAAGCTTTCATGAATACAAACTGAATCTAATGAAAATGATTTGATAAAATTGAAATAATTTTAAATAGCACAATAACATTTATAAATACAAAATAATAGGAAACAAAAAGGTTGTAAGATTATTGCATCTAAGCAGTATTACAGTTTGGTAACTGTTAGTTGTACACCAGCTTTGTAGTCCAGTTGCTGCTGAGTTATGAGTTTTACAACCTGGGAAACAAATCTGAGGCTGTGCGTCGGCTGGAATGGTGTGAGAGAGAGCTGGCAGCTTTGGACAGCAGTGGGTGCAGGGAACCATTCTATCTCAACATGAGGAGGCCGATGTGGCATGTCACTCTAGCAATGCGAGAAGTCATGAGTGAAAACATCCACTACCAGGTACAGAGTCTTGTACAATAAATATCTTACTGGTTATCAATTTGTAGAATTTGACATTTTTTAATCTTTTGAATGATAGATATTTTTTGTCCGGAGGACTATTATTCTTATAGTGTTGTATAGTTATTTAGAATAGTGTTTAATCGCTTAATACACATACCACGAGTTATTTTGGTTTTGCCACTTAGGCAATAAGTAATAACTCAATTTTTTTTCATTACAGTTCTGTCAAAAACATATATCATTGCTAACCCTTCCCGGGCGAGTAACCAAAATATCCTCTTAATGTTTGGCATAAAGGATGGGAGACGGATGTATTAATCCATAATGGTTTTAGATGTTTTGGACATGAAGCTGAAGTTCCAACCAGTTTCACAGACAGACTGGTTAATGGCTGTTGTACAGCTGTGTTTGAATTCATTCAAATCAACATTTAGAATACATTCTAGATAGTTAGTAAACGCATAGATTAATCAAACTTCATTAGTAGATTTTTGTCATCCTTATGGATCAGCTGAAGTCAGTTTTATTGCTAGTTCCGCCCGGTGCCGCTAGAAACGTGATTTTTTTTACAATTTGTTCTTATTGTTTCTGTTATTTAAAACCTTTGAAACCAAATAAAACAATCTAATCATAAACAATAACTTGCCCTCTAGTTACATAACAAAACAGTAAAGCACAAATCATGAAATTAACCCTAAAATAATGGATACAAAATTCTGCTGAACTAGCGCCAGTGTCACAACAATAACTAGACACAAAAAATGAGCAACAATTTTTACAATGGGACGAGAAGTCTACTTTGTGTTGGTTGGTCTATGGGAAAGCTTATAAAACATTATATCAGATAGCTACTACCTTTTATCACCATTTTTAATAGTTTTTCAAACACACTATATCTCAAAAATGAGAATAACAAGCATTACTAAATCTTAAGAAAAAAAATAAAAAAAAAACACAAAAAACTGAAGTTTAAAGAAATCCACAGCTGTTTCAAATTAATTATAATATTATCACAACTTCTAACAAACTGATTCACCAGTTCACGCTACTGTGGAGCTTCAATATTATGTTCTGCGGAAGCGCTATTAAATTGAACTCTGCATACACCTTGCTTCCCGTGCTAACCACGTATAAATTTTGTGAAATATTTCATTTGGAAGACTACAGTACCCTTTTAAGTACCTTAATCTATAATTTAAAAGAAGGTAGATATGTTTGTTTTAAAATTACATTTTATGTTTTTTTCAGCACATTGATGAGCGTTACAACCTAACACTGCTTACAGCACCTGAAAAGGCATGCTTGTATGGGCTCAAGTCAATGTGTTTCTTGGAGTATGGGTTCAATGGCAACATGGCAGCCATGAAATGGGCCAAACTTGCCTTAGTAACAGACCCAGCAGAAGCAGAATGGCACTTCCTCACTGGCAAATGCATGGGTAACAGGTTAAAAGATTTTGTTCTTATTGAAACAAATGTGTACAAAAAACAAAACAAATGAAAATGATACCCCCTCCGCAGCAAAGCTGCAGACTAAGCGAATTTCCGTTTGCCTTATTGGATTTACTTTAAAATATCACCTTTAAAATATCACATCTATTCCCTATTTAAATAACATTTGAATAGCATCCCTATCAAAATATGTTCACAAACAAGCAAATTACAACAGTTTACTTAAATTCTCCATAAGAATAAAATAGACATTTTTAATTAAAAATTTTTGGAATTTTCTCCGTTACTATAGGCGCATAATAACACTTCAATATATTAAATTAATATTTTTCAAGCTCTACAAAATATTTGGGAAATAAATTGCAAAATGTTATACTTTTAGGGTAAAAAATGGGAAAAACCAAATTTTACCACATAAAACTCACCAAAAACCCCTGTTCCCATAGTCAAATTGTGAACTCGTTAGAATAAACGTGGGTTTACACGTTTATAACAAATTTCATCAAAATAGGATTATTTTTTTCGAGTTATCGTGCTAACGGACATATATATATATATATATATATATATATATGCATTTGAACGGATGGTGTTTTTGGCCTCTAGGGACCTCAAAACGAAAAAGTTAATCAGTCCCTGGTCAAAGTCTTATCATGAGTACTATGGTAATAGCTTATTCCTCATATGGGAAATTCGCCAATAGTAAGATAACATGAGTGTAAATATGATGTATCTGTAAATTAATGCTTTATTGAGCTTACGTCGCGGCTAAGCCAGCTAGTTCAAATCTAAGACTAACGTTGTGCACTTTACTTCACCCATTACTAACTGTTATTACAAGTTCTTACCTTAAGTGAAGTGACCTTCAGTGTCTTAGAGGTATGAACTTGTAATAACAGCCGCTCACTGTTCCAATCAAGAGTGTTGCACGACGTCCAAAATATAATTTTTGAGCTGTCTCACGAATTATATTTTGAACGTTGTATTTAAACTACATAGGATTAAAACTTTGTCAGACTCATTGATAGTGAATTGTTAATCAGGCCGAGTGCGCCGCTGCACAAAGAAGTTCAGTGGAGTACCGAGAGAGGAGGTGGAGTTGATAGAACGAGCTGTAGCCATCAGCGCCAACCCCAAGTACATCATGTATGTGGCTCAGGTTTACCAACAGAGCGCAAGTGCCGCCTTCATACACCACCGCGATGACCAGGGCTTCTACAAGAGTAACCTCTACAGGGCCATCAACAACATGAACAAGAAGGCAGTGGAGTTGTACCAGTAAGTGGACTATAGGTTTGTGGATGGTAATCTCTTTAATGACAAACATTTGTCTACATAATATACAGGGTGTTTCAGAATTTGTGTCGGATATTTTAGGGTATTGTTCCTGGGTAAGAAAGAAATCCAAATATCATATTTAAATTGACCGGAAGTCCTTAGTTACTCACACAGCCACCATTTAGATTTTTCGATTATTAATTGTTTTCTAAAAAATTGTAAGAGATACGAAATTGAAACTTTGCAAAAAACATTTATGACAACTAGACAAAGCTACAAACAAATTATGAACATTTTTAAAATTCATAAAACAAAATGGCGTCCATTCAAAATTTTGTTTCTTAAATAACCAAAAAACCGTCGAGTTAACAAAAAATTTACAGGAATAACTTCTTTAAGAAAATTTAATTACAAATCAATTGATACCTTAATCTTTAAGAATAGATGAATATTAACTGAGATATGGCAGCTTCAGTAATCCGTGACCGCTGGTGGTTAGATGTAGTGCATGCCTCGGCATGAGGCCTAAGTCTGCCACAACAATACAACAGTCTCCGTCCGCTTTGCAAGTTATTTTTAAATGATTTTAGATTATTTCAAACAATAATAAAATATTACATAACCCCAAAATTGTCTTTTTTTATCAATTTTATCAATCATTAGGATGGCTTAAAATTGCACACCTTTTTACTGTCTTTAAAATTCACACTTAACACCCAAACTTTTTAAATCAGCTGTGGTGAAAGTCAACGTACTTGTTTACAAAATAATAATCAGCTGATTGTATTGTTGTCTAAAGATGTTATTGTTTATTCAATGTAGTCAGTTCCTCTAACTTTTTACATTGACTTTTAAAGTATAGCCTACTCTCACTGTAAAAGGCGTACAGCCCCACTCCTCATTAAATCAATGAGTACCCAAGTATAAGGAACACCCAATGCTTATTTTGAAGATTATTCACCATTTTCAACCCATCTGCAAAGTGCCTTCTTAGGTTTGTTTGACTGTACTCTGGCCAGGGTAATTCCTCCTTTTTGTTTGGTCCTTTATGCAAGTCTATCTCCCCTCTTGTAATTTCTCTAGAATAACATTAACTGCTTGCAATATTATTAATAAACATGTTTCTTCACCATCCTGTATTAAAAATTGTGTGAGCTATGAATTCAAATTGTAGTTCAAACAAGTGGCCTAGCCAGGTTGGATGCGCTTTGGAGCAGAAATGGCTTAATGTTATTCCTTAATCTCGAACATCACCCTACTTTATACATGGATACCCTTGGGGAATGAGAAATGGCAAATATCACAAAATTTCATAGAAATAGGTGTCAAAGGACAGCTTGTCAGAAACCAATCAAAGGCCAGAAAAAATTCCCTGCATTTTCAGGCGACTAAAATGTGTGATTTTAAGTGATACCTTTGAGTATCCAATAGTCAATGGCAATACTCTGTCCAAGAACTGCTTGGATTCTTGGATTACCAATAGATATTGTCTATTAGATAGTGAACATAATCTATGGCACAATAATGTTTTTTTTCATTTTTAACAACTAGATAGTATTTCATTATTCAATTTAATCTTTTAGTTCAAAAGGTATAAAAAAGATAGTTTCAGTTGGATAATTTGAACACCATCAATGAAAGATGATTGGTACTTTAGGACTATAGGTAATTAATAAAAAGCAATAATGACTGTACTGTACGTATTATTTAATTACTTTTGGTAACAAAATAGAAACCTAATTGAATAAAAGCAAACTGTAATTTTATATTCATCCCATATAAAATTTGTGTTACAAAACTAAAAACTATTATTTTCTTTGCCAAGTTCTGTCCACCAGAGCCTTTCTTTTCTGGAGCGGCAGCTTCACACACTCATCTGTCACTGTCACTACACCACTGGTTATAACATTACATAGACATTACAGTTTAAAGAATGGGAAAAGTTTAAAGAATGCTTTAATGCAAATTTTCTCCTTCCTCGTCAACTGAAAGATAAATCCCAAATTGACGAGGCAATTGATTTGATTGTCACATCCATTTGACCCTCAGTAGAACAAGCAAAGGTTTGTCATTTTAAGCCTAAAACATTGTTTTCCTTAATTCCTTGATACATACTGTCCCTTATTGATCTGAAAATTAGACACAGAGGATTATGGCAACGCTACAGAACTCCTTAATTTCACAGAATACCGATTCAGATACGAATCTTATCTATATAAATAAAATTTGAGTTTTGTCTGTACATTGCTCAGAATCATAATTTTTTAGGTTGTTTTTACGTTTTATAGATTAAAGAAGCCGAAACAATTCTCATCTCAATTTCTGTCTGTCTGTCTGTAACACTCAAGATGACATTTTACGCTATCTTCTCCATGAAAACGAGAGTACCTTTCAAGATCCAAGTCATTTTAATGTATTCACTGGATTGGCAAGAGTGTCTTTAGCCATTAAAATATGGCCTCACTACTTTGTAAATAAAATTACGGACGTTCAAAAATGCAGTTTTGTGCGATTTTTGTTAAATATTCGTTCAATTTTTATCACATAATCATCTATGAAATAACGAACAGCTGTTCGGATCAAGATTATTTTTTCAAAATCATTTCGTGACATCTTCGGACTAAGCAAATATAAATTGTTATGATAAAGTTTGGTGTGACACTAAAGTATGTACTTTGCTTTGGTTAAAGCGTAGCGAATTCCCTACTTAAATTCTGTACTTTTGTGTGTATGTCTGTTGGTAGCGCATATTTCTCAGTGTTCCGTACGGACAGGACAAGAACACTTTTGATAGTGAAAATTTCAACTGGAATGTTTGAGGTTGAGATAGTATTTTAATCACTTTTAACCATTGAAAGTAGCTTCAATTATAGGCCTACTTTAGGGCTATGCCTTATAGATCTATAGAGCTTTTTTTTTTACTTTAAACTGTCATATACTGTATTTGTTTACATAATAGTTTGGCCATAGTTACATATCTGAAAATATGCAAACCAACTGCTGTTCTTGACATAAGAAGTTTTCAACTGACTATTATAAGTTCCCCGTGCGTAGAACGGGCACACAGCTAGTAACAAATATGCATCAAATTTGTCCTCTGATGACAACAACTTAATATGGCTTGTAACTAAACGAATATTGAAAGAACGCTCCCCAGGAGTATGTTTTATCTATGCCAACATCCAGTTTAACAAACTACGGTCAGGTATACGAAAGCAAAACGAAAAAAGCGCTTTAGCCGATTATTATCATTGTTCATTTCGTCCAAATGATGAATTTCAAGACCTTGAATTTTCTTATCATGTTACCACAGTAAATAAATTCCTCGCCACTGTTCACATAGTAGAATGGCCAATTAAATATACTTCTCCTTTCTCCATCTGAAATCTCTCACTTTATAAAGATGCTAAAAATCAAGAAAGACTCCTGGACACAACGGAATACCTAACATTATTCTATGTAATCTACCCTGAAAATGACTTACTTTCCTTGCTTATTATTTTCAATGCCTGCCTCACAAAATCGCACTTCTCACAGTTGTGGAAACATTCACTCATTGTCATCCATAAGCCTGGAAAACCTTCATCACAAGTAAATAGTTATTATCCAATTAGCCTCCTACCCACATAGTCTAAATTGTTTAGAAAAATCATTAAACAACACCTAGACTTCCACGTAAATAGTGCTTCTCTGATACCTCCTCATCAGTTTGGTTTTCGCTCTCACCATTCTACAACACATAAACTTTAAGAGTTTCTGAAGACATCATTAAAAGATTTTAAAGAAAATGTTATACTGCTGCAGTGTTTCTTGACGTAAGCCAGGCCTTTGACCGTGTGTGTGGCACGATGGCTTTATACTTAAACTAAGAATGTTCGGAGGCTTCTCCTACATTGAAAGCTTCCTCAAAGATAGAACGTTTTCAGTTAATATTGATGGCTCTCTATCAACTACCGGACCAGTATAAGGATGGTACTCCCGTCCACAGGGTGCAATTTTTTCACCTCTGTTGTATAATATTTACACTTCTGATTTGCCCTTATCAAACTATGTCCAAACAGCCGTGTTTGCTGATGACACCCTCCTCTACTCTACACTCCATGACATCGAAATTGTTGCCCAAAACATTCCAAATTCATGGCTTAAACGATTTAATGAAATGATTTAAAAAATGGAGAATAGCTATATATGTACCGGTTCAAACTATACATACTATTATGTATATCACGCTGAAGATGATGCCACAAACAACTTTCAGTTATAGGCCTATGTCTATTTTTCATAAGTAAATTGACTTTTTAAGGTCTTCAGCAGTGCCATGACCTTGAAATGAAATATTCATTCAATGAAGAGTTAAGTGAAGATTTTCACCCTCCGAAAACCATCAGATCCTCGAAATATTGAAATTCTTGGTGAATAGATCACATGGCACGATGGAACCCTCCTGACCAATCAATAAAATATACTTAGATTACACTTGGTAAATTTGGCTTATGGTAGATTATAAAATTTGTTTACTTTAATCAAATGTCTGTCTATTAAAAAATGGAACTCTTCTATACATAACTCTTCTACATCCACTACTGCTTCATCATGCTCAATTCGTAAATTGCAAACCTTTCGTGTCCCTGGTATGTTTGAAACTGTCAAATACATTTAGAACTGGGAATCAAACCTATTGAGGCTTTAATCAAGAAAACTACCTTAAAATTCTTTAAAAAACTTTCATTAACCAGCAGCATTGTATTTTATAACACAGGTCAACCTTCTGAAATCCAGAGACTCCGGCTAAAACCCAGATTGCCTCAAGATGTCTTACTATAACCCTGCTTCCATTTGTGTTCCATTATGAAGAATTCCGTGTTCCATTGGTGTATACTTCTAACAGTGCCTTACAGTCAGACCCATAGACCCATAAAAACAGTGACAATAGTGCCTGGGGGCTAGCCATATTTGGCCCCTACCTATGTGAATGTTAATAGCTTTTTTTTCTCATGTTTTACCTGACTATTATAGAAATGTAATACTGATCGGTTGATAAATTGTAAAAAAAGACATTACAAAAATATACATACAAACTAAATACAATATTATTAACAGTATAAAACATTTAATTTCTTTCACAAACACATTAAACTATTCAGTAAATTAAACAAATAATGATTTTAAAAAAATATTTAAAAATTGATGATTTTTCAAGCATGACAAATTTCGGTTATCAAAATTGATACTCAGTAATATAGTTGTTATTTTCTGATAGACAGGCTATAGTGTTCCGGCCTAACTGTAGCTACACGTATATTCGCTGCCTCAATGGACTGCTCAAGCTGCCAAGGAAGTACCTCAACATGACACAAGTGCGAGAGATGGTGGACAAAGTCACTGAAATATCTCCAAATAACACCATGTTCCTGCACACTGCCGGCCTCTACTACCTCAAAATGGAAGCTGTAAGAGTTCTAGCGTGGCCAAGTTATTTCAAAACTGACACCATCTTAATGTACTTTACTTCCTCCTCTATATTCTAGTTGTGGCCATATGACCTTGTCGTAGTAGCTGATAGCAACATGAGTGAAAATGGAAACTCTGGCCAAATATGAATTACATTAACTGCCAGTTACCCACGGGCTTCACTCCGTTTGACTTCATCAGTAGTATTAATAAAACTATTGATTGGTTATAGTCTAGGCGCTAGGCCATGTCCCGTGTGCACTTATATGTCCCCTAAGTTTTATTGCGGGGCTTTGTTTAACACCTATGGGAGCTAATAAAAACAACTGGTCACGTGGTCCAAACCATGGTCGTTTGGTCGCCATTTTGGAAAATGGCCACCAAATTGCTAGATTATTTGCTAATACGTATCTCCATACCCAGTGGTCCAATTTGAATTTTGTAAAGCTAATTTTACTCCTTAACTGAAGGCGAACAAACTTTGACATTACACTTGTATTGCTAAACCCATTATTTTATTGACATTTCTTAACATTTTTAATCTATAGCCTATATATTAAAAAATATTGGGTTTTCTTTTCGGAGTCTGCTTAGCTCTTCTACCCAACCGATTTTCATAATTTTGTTCTAAAATTGAAGGTATGCACGCACAGATTTCACATCAAGCATCGGCATATATTTATCTACAGTCCCACTCGGCTTATACGTAAACAAAATTTGCTCCCCATGTATTTCTTATGGGAGTTAAATTTGGCTTTTCTTTTCTGAGTTCGTTTGGCTCTTACCCGACCCCGACCGACTTTCATGACTGAGGTCTCAAATTGAAGGTATGCACGCATAGGTTTCACATCAAGCTTTGGCATATATTTATCCCCTGTATTACTCAAGCAAAAAACATAAATATGATTATTTTGAATATTCTTACTTCAATTTAAGGTGGATTTCACCAATTATAATTATTCAGAGTGTTCCATAAGTAAACAGCCAAACTCCGGGAAATGGTTCTGTGGGTCAAAATAAAGAGAAAATCAAGAATAATATTTTTTCCAAAATAGCTTCGTTAACCAGATATTCGCCATTTTGTTTTTTCTCATTAACATTTTATCTTTATAGTTTTTCAACCGATCATTATGAAACTTGGTATGTATGTTAAGGTAATAGAGACCCATGTTAAAAAATAAATTCATCTTGATTCATCACAAAATTTCAAAATGGCGGCCAATAAATTACTAAAAGATGGCTGATTTCATGAAAAGATGACAAGGACACTTTTATTTGACATTTTTAATTCCCTATCAAACGATACCAAGTTCAAAGAGATTGAATCAGAAATAGATGACATATTAAGATTTGTTGTTGTAAAATGGGGTAAAAAAAGGCTAAGCTTAGGTTTGCCCCATTTCACGACTAAAAATCGTAATATTTCAACTATTCCTAATTCAATATTTTTGAACCTGGTATAGTTTGATGGGGAATTAAAAACGGCACATAAAAGTGTTCTTGTAATTTTTTCAGAAAATTAGCAATTTTTTAGTAATTTAAGTTTAAAAAACTAAAATAGCCGCTATTTTGAAATTGCCTGATGAATCAAGATGAATTTCTTTTGTAGCATGGGTCTCTATTACCTTAACATACACACCAAGTTTCATAATGATTGGTCAAAAAATTTTAAAGATAAAAATGTGAATGTGAAAAAAAACAAAATGGCAAATACCGGTATCTCTGGTTAGAAGCGATTTTGGGAAAAAATTGTATTCTTCATTTTCTCTTTATTTTGACCCATAGAACCATTTCCCGGCTGTTAACTTACGGGTCACCCAGTATATGCTATATATTATAGTTTAAGAACCTTCAGTGAAATTCCAGTTTTTATTTAAGCTATTACATAGTTATTCAAATCGGATGAGTTTCAAGCAAACACAAGGTGAACAACCAACATACAAATATTGTTATAAGGTTTTTCTATGATTAACAATTAACAGCTCCAGTATTGTTTATGTTTTTATATATTTTAGACTCAACAGTAAATTTATAGACTTTAATTTGAACAATTTATCATTTGAATCAGTTAAGTTCAAGATACTGCATTAATCAATCAAAAATCATAAATTTGATTATTTCTCTGACATGATATTTATTTCAATGCTGCATGGGTCCTCTAGTATATGTATTAAAAAAATATTGGGTTTTCATTTCCGAATCGGTTACCGGTAAGCTGTTCTACGCGACCAATTTATTTAATTATTCAATTAATTTATTCAAAGTATATTTTGAGTTATGCACAAAAGCAACTTTCTCCCTGTACATTTCTTATGGGAGTTAAATTTGCTTTTTCTTTTCTGAGTTCATTTGGCTCTTCTACTCGACCGATTATCATAATTTTGGTCTTAAATTAAAGATATGCATGCACAGATTTGCCATCAAGCACCACCAGTCATTTTCAACTGTATTTCGGCACTTGGACAAAAAAAATTGGTTTTTGTTTTCAAATTCTCCCTTATACTAAAGGATGTATTACACCAGTTCTAATTAAAATATTTGATATGTTTTGGTCTAAGAACCTTAAGTGAAATACCGGCCTTTATTTGAGTTATTGATTATTAAGATCGGACGAACCTAAAGCACGCTGCTTAATCACAAACAAACAAAATTGATCCAAAAAATAATGAAGTTATTTATCATTGATTGTTATTTAAATGATTTTGTTTGAAACCTCAACAGTAACCATCGATTTCAACTTGTTTTCCCTAATAATTCCATCATTGTGGACTTACTGCCTGATTAATACATTATTCGTTCGAAAAGTTTAAAACTATTGATTTAAAATATATACTAAAGGACTTAAAGGTATGACTATAATATTGTGGTATAATTACCTCGTCAAGTAATCCAAATGGTATGCCTTAAAGGTATGCTTAAAAACTTATATTATAAAAAGAGACATGGTCTTCCAAAAACTTAAAAAAACTTATAAAAAAATATATTTTTTGGTCAAGGATTACAGTATACAAATGAATGATGATGCTTGATAGAAAATCTGTGTGTACATACCTTTTATTTAACATAAAAATTAAGAAAATCGGTCGGGTAGAAGAGCTTAACCGACTCAGAAAAGAAAAACCAATGTTATTTAATATATCGGTATAGATTTAAAATGTAAATATATATCTCAATAAACAATGGGTACAACAATGATAATACAAGTGTAATGACAAAGTTTGTTTGCCTTTTCTTAAGGAGTAAAATGAGCTTTACAAAATTCAAATCGGACCACTGGGTATGGAGATACGTATAACACAAATAATCTAGCAATTGCACAATGACGTAGCCAGGGGGGGTCCTGGGGGTCTGGACCCCCCCTTCCGGTCTTAAATATAATATACAGGGTGTCCCGTAACTCTCTGGACATATGTATATAGCGTTGTTCCTTAGGTCAAGACAAACACATTTCACCATAGGAACATGGGTCTGTGGGGTCTAGTTTACCGACTGTCGGTATTTATGTGTTTTTTACAAAAAAAACTAATAACTCCTAAACGGTTTGAGATACAGCTTTGATATTTTGCAAAAATGTTTATCTTATTAAGACCTATTATCGTTAGAAATTATACTAAAAAATCATTAACCGTTTCAAAATGGCGGCCATTTAAAATATTTGATGCCAAATATCACGAAAACCGTTAACTTTACAAAAAAATTGCAAGAGACATAAAAGTTTGTAAATTTTATGTAGTTTTCAATGATACCTTATTTGTTAAGATTGGATAAATAATAACAGAGAAACGAGTTGTTTTCGTAATGTATGACCACTTTTTCCCATTTAAACAATGCTAATACTCCTTTGACGTTGTTTAGCATTGTTTAAATGGAGAAAAGTGGTCATGCGTTTAGAAAAGAAGACATTTCTCTGTTATTATTTATCCAATCTTAACAAATCAGGTATCATTGAAAACTACATAAAATTTACAAACTTTTATGTCTCTTGCAATTTTTTTGTAAAGTTAACGGTTTTCGTGAAATTTGGCATCAAATATTTTAAATGGCCGCCATTTTGAAACGGTTAATTATTTTTTAGTATAATTTCTAGCGATAATAGGTCTTAATAAGATTAACATTTTTGCAAAATATCAAAGCTGTATCTCAAACCGTTTAGGAGTTATTAGTTTTTTTGTAAAAAACACATAAATACCGACAGTCGGTAAACTAGACCCCACAGACCCATGTTCCTATGGTGAAATGTGTTTGTCTTGACCTAAGGAATAACGCTATATACAAGTGTCCAGAGAGTTACGGGACACCCTGTATATTTTTTAAATTTAATGTACAATTATATAATCATATATTGACGTTGGGGTTGATTATTTAGAGCGGAGCACATTTGTAGGTATGTTATACGTCAAACTACCCCCCTACTTCAGTATGAACTGCAAGGCGGGAATTTTTTTGGTGGGACAGTTGGCAGCACCACAGCGCTTTTGTATTTTGTCTGGTCAAAAGTGAGAAGTAGTTTATATAGTCAATGATAGTAGTGACAACGAGGCGCCCAACCGACTTGACATAAACTGGCCACAGACTGCTTTTTTGTTTATGTTTCAAACAGTTTTAAAAATGTCTTTTAAAATTAAATTGCTTATGAAGTTTTTATTCATTCTCAGTTGTTATTGATCTTAATAGACAAATATTATAATATATATATGTAATAGACAATCGCTGCACTTTGCTATAAAACGCCCAACTCGTTAAAAAATTATTAAACACTGTTGTACCATATATCACGCTGAAGATGATGCCACAAACAACTTCCAGTTATAGGCCTATGCATGTCTATTTTTCGTAAGTAAATTGACTTTTTAAGGTCTTCAGTAGTGCCAAGACCTTGAAGATAGTCCCATAAGACTAATGTTAAGCATGTGACCCCATAACGCCTTCCCAGGTTGTCATAAAAATATAATTTCGGTGTCAAATTAAAAGTATAATCTGTTCTCTAGGGAAATGTCTTTTTTTATAAACATTAATTGTTTACAGAAAATTAGAGTTTGTTTTCAACAAAAATCAACTCGAACTCCTCGCGGCACTACTAAAGACTTTTAAATAATCGTCGAGCTCGAATATTCAGCAGCTATGCTACCTAAAAAAATCTATTAGATTAAAAAAAAAAACTTGCTAAAACACACAAATTATTTAGTACCATTTAAAATTACGATGAGATATTTGTAAAAAACTTGCTAAAACACGCAACACTTACTATTTAGCACCCAAAATTGCAAAACACTTCCGGGGGAGGACCCCCTTTTGCTGGGGGGTTGGCCCCCAGACCCCCTTGCGGGTGCGGCCCAGTATTATTCGCCAAAGGTGGCAAGTACTCTAGCTACGTCCCTGGTACTGAAGAAGCTCTTTAGCCAGTGTCGTGTTTAGATAGTTTATACACAATACAGCTCAAATACCTTTAACAAACCTATTGCAATAAAAATTTGTAGGTTAATTTTATAAAAGGATTGTCATTTGTTGCAGGATCCTAAAAAAGCCCTGAGGTTTTTAGAAAAGGCAAGTGAACAGGGAAACTATGGCGCATCCATGGATGCAATTCGCTTACGCTTTCGAATGAATGAAAGTTACAATCCTATTGGGCGTTTGAACAAACTTATAGAAAAATTCACTGCCGAGCCGCATCATGAAGATGCAGTCACACAACTTGGCTCATTTTATCTTTTTATCGTGAGAGATTTAGAGAAGGCCATAAATACATACAACACTATCATTCAAAAGAATCCTGAGAGCAGAGCTATGTTGGTATGTATTTAAGTATTGATTTGACATAATATACTATATGCGGCATATTCATTCTATCCATGGTGGAAGGAAAATACAGGTGTGCTATTCCTGTCATATGCTGACGTCACTCAGATTTCAAACACCATTTCACCATTTAGAAAAATTATAAAAACAATAACAATCAAATCAAAACAAATATATACTTATATGGCAATACATGATTTTTTGTTTTTGCAATCTGGGTGACGTCAGCAAATGACAGGAAATAGCACACCTATGTATTTTTCCTTTCACCATGCATTCTATCCATAGGATCATTTTTCTTAGCAAAAGGAATAATTTGAACCATTTTAAGCTGGCTTGAGAGTTGTCGACAGATAAAAGAGGAATTATACTAGGGGCCACGGGAGTCTGCAGTTGGTGGCAGCCAATAGCAAGACTGGACTAGCGGGACGTGGCAACATCACCTTACACTACTTTTTGACACTAATTAAAATATACCAAACAGTATTTTCAAATCAGCTGGTATTATGAGATTTGGCAACACCATTGGAAATAGGCTCCTCCCTCAACTGCAGACTTTCGTGGGCCGTACTGTAATACATATGCAGGAATAAGTCCAAACTCTTTTTTTATTATTGAAATTGCAATGTCATCGAAACAACTTGAAAATTTATTTCTTAGAGAATTTATGGTCTTAAGCTCCTTTTCATTTTTCTGATACAGCAGATAAAGTCAAGATAAAGCAGAAACCCCAGCAAGAAAAAGGGACTATGACCTAAGACTAAAGACTTTGAGGAAAACTCAAACATCCGACTATATAAGCAATGGCGACAACAAGCCCAAGGTAATAATGAGAGAAAATCAAGTACCAGTAATAGCAAATGAGTGGGAACTCCTAGTAGGCGAGACATTACAGGACCTAATCAAAATAGCAAACCACCTCAACCGTTTTTTTGCTACAGCTGCTGAAAGGACACTTCAGGCCAATAACACCAACACACACACCAGAACCAGTGCCAGATTTAGGGTACTTGCGGCCCTAGGCCAAATTACTTGAGCGGCCCTCCCCCTGTGGTGGAAATTCCTTGCGATCGCGGAAGTAATCGTGAATATCTCTTATGCATCAAGCAGACATCATCATCGACACCCGTGATTGTGGATGAAATCGTGGTCATCTCTCCCATTATGTCAAAGCCATCATAGGTATTCGTGACTGCGGCAAAATCATGAACATTCTCCGCGGGCTGCAACAAAGGTGCATCATCCTTGACACTCGCGATCGCAGCGAAATCGTGATCATAGCCCGTGAGCTGTAACCTTGAAGACATTATCACCGTCACCCGCGACAGCAGTTAAATCGTGATCACCTCCTGCGGGCGGCAAGCACGGGGACATCATCATCAACACTTGCGACCGTGGCAAAATCATGAACATCTCCCGCGAACCACAATCACGTGGACATCATCACCGTCACCCGTGGCCGTGGCAAAGTCGTGTTAAATAATCTCCCTTGGACTGTGATAATGAGGACTTCATTTTTTCACTTCTGAAAAAAAATTTTTTACAATCCTCTGCGGCTCTCTTTTGCTTGTGGCCCTAGGCCGTGGCCTAATCAGCCTAGTGGTAAATCCGGCACTTATCAGAACCCCCTAAATTCCTCCTTTAACAGATAACAAACTGAAATTTCAGCTTGCAACAGGTAACAATGTTCTAAAAGCAATAGACTCACTTAAACCAAAAACTTCATCTGGCACTGATGAAATATCAGCCAAACTGGTCAAAACATGTAAAAATGAACTGATTAACCCACTAACATCAGCACTCATAAATAAGTCTCTCAAACAAGGGGTCTTCCCAACACAGCTGATAACTGCCAAGGTATACCCTAAATATAAAAATGGACGACACACATAGTTGCTACAAGTTACAGACTAATTTTACTTATACCGACCTTCTCTAAGATCTTTGAAAAAATCGTCCTTAACAGTCTAATATCCCATCTAGACCAAAATCTGCTGCTCACCAGCCAGCATCATGGTTTCTTTAAAGGAAGATCTACTTACACTGCCTTAATACAGCTCACCGAGCACATAATAGAACAACTAGAAGACGGCTCCTCAGTCACAAATCTGTTTCTAGACTTAAGCAAGGCCTTTGACTGCCTTAACCACAAGACACATATTAGAAAATTGGGTTCTCTGGGTATTAAGGGAAAGTCTAAACAATGGTTCCCCAGTTATCTTAATGGGAGACAGCAACTACTTGAGATTCAGCATGTAGAAAAAGTACTCGCCATAAAATACATTCCAAAATTGTCCCTATACGGAGAGGAGTAGGCCTACCACAGGGATCAGTTCTCGGACCAGTCCTGTTCCTCCTCCTCACAGATGACCTACCACAACAACCAGCTACAAGAATACTGCCAAACCACAATGTATGCAGATGACACTGCCATCACACTGACAACCTTTCACCCCAGCTAGCACTTATAGACCCAACGGTTCTTTCAAAAATGGCAGATAATATAGAACGTGATCAACGGATGTTAAAACCAGTGTGGAAATAATTATCAAAATTATTGACAGTTTATTATACTCCTGTTGCATGTTGTTGTTGACCAAAAACACCTGATCAGCTGATCAGAGAAGTTTTGGTCTGGTTGACCAAGAGACATGCAATTTTCAGCAGTGTTTTGGCAAGGTGGGCAATGGGAATAAGTTTAATTAAAACATATGTGAGGTATTAGAAAGCTTCTGTCGTATCCTTTGTCCCACTGGAGAACAGCATATGGATATGAGGCCTGCTTGTATCATTCAAGATAGCCATGATGTGATAAACTCAGAACCTGGTTAAAACTTCACCCGTCATCTAAAGTTACTGACAAGTTACTGACTGATGTCTTTCAGTAGTGGTATAGTGGGAGCTTCTGAGATAAATAGTCACATGGTCCAACAACTTGGGACAGAAGGAGTGAAGCTCATCGTTGGGAAACCCTTTGACAAAGTAGCTTTCAAACGGAGACACCAAGAGGCAACATTGGCTTTACACACAAAATCTATTAAACTGTACAACAATAATGTAGTTATTTGATCTAGTTACAATATTTCAGCGAGATGCATAACTAAACAGTTGGAAAATTATTTTCAGGAATACTTCAAGTACAAAATGGCCCATTTCCTTTTGTCTTTGGCTACAGAGCATTGGATGCGAAAAGGCCTGACTCTATTCTGCTTTCTCTCCTCTCTCCTACAAACTAATAGATGCCATAAAATATGTCTTCTTAGTTGTTGGTTATTGTCTGCACAAAGTGGTCTGGCAGTGGAAAAGCTCAGTAGCATCAGTCGTCTCGGGTTACACCACCTACGCGAATTATCACTTTGGTAAGAACGTCTCAATTGTTTTTTACAGTTACCCAAGAAGCACTAAAACAGCGGGGGTTAACTCATCGCTTTAAAGATATATTTACGCTTATACTGTTACTCACAAGACGGTAAATATACAAAAAAGATGGTAAGTGGTGATCGATTTAGATTGGACACTCCAATCATCATCAGACCCAATAGGCGAATGTCTAAAACCCCTTCATATGATCGAGTAGTCATTTTAGGAGAAGATTTAGACCTTATCGTCCTTCTGAACGAAGGTACCCTTCGTTTAGTCCCTGAAATAACAAATGTCTACCTTCAGAAGAGTAGCAAAGATGAGGTTGGCTTCTGCCACTACTCCAAAACTTCCTACAATCACCTCCCAAATGTCACCAAAGTCAATACTTTTTACCCATGCACTCACAGTGTGCGAAACAACCTTGGCGCCGTATGGTTATGGCAAAACCAAATTCAACAACTTGCAGAGTAGGGTAAAAGTAAAGAACTTGCTGATTTGGCTGAGGTTTTCATAGAACAAAACTCTACCAAGAAAGTTATAAGATTGGCAGGGATTAAATACTTTGTGGCTGTTTATGAGGGTGACATTAAAATTGACACTTTGGATCGCCTTCGTTACAAGACATTTGCCTCTTTGAAAAACATCAACCTTGCCCGTCTACCACCATAGAGGATGCTGCAGGCCACCATGCTCTCCAGTGCTACCACCAAGTTCAGAAACGGTTTTGTGTTGACAAAAATCCTAATGATTGAAAGCTCAAATCAAGGACTTACCCCTATTACTTTTATTATGGATCCTGTTCCCGAAATGCTCCTACGTAAAATATTGTGTGAGTGCAAAAAGGGTTGCAGCGGCAGATGTAGCTGCCGTAAAGCTGGGCTGAAATATTCCGTCCTTTGCCAAGCCTTTAGTGGAAAATCATGCTAAAATACTCCCGACTGGAACTCAAGGCATGGATGATGAGGACAAGGATTTTAAAATTGAGTTTTCATCGGTCGACCGGCCAACATCGGCAACAAAGCAGCACCCCCTTTATTTGAACATTTTCCCGAACCAGGGTGGTCGAAATGCAAGAAAAATTTAAATACATACTTGGGTTATTATAAGTCACATGTAATGCAATTATTCCATTTATTAAATAAACTATCCATACGGATGTGTTAAATAGTTTATTTACTTTTATTTCTCCGAAATACCATCCATACATAATATGTTATCTTCCATTTTTTAAAGAACCATTGGGTCTATAAGTGCTAGCTGGGGCTCAAATGAAAGCTAATTAAATTAAATCTTTCATTTACTCCGGTATATATTTTCTCGTGGATGAATATTTTTAACAATATGACGCAAAACAATTGACCATGACAAAACTTTTTAATTTTTTGAAAAATGTCTAAAAGAGGAAGTTTGTATATATATTTGAACGTTATGGACTCCGAAACCGCTCGACATATTGTAATGAAACTTTCAGGTATTAATAAGCATTATTCAGAGATGGTTTATGTGAAGTTTGGTGCAGATCCGTCAAAAGGGCTCTGCCTCAGTGGCTCTGGAGTTTGCCATGTTAACCTTATGAGTACTTATATTTAAATGGAATTAAAGAATATTAACAGCTGGTTCAACTAAACAAT